AGCCCCTGCTGTCAACGCCCGGTAGCTTCACAGGAGGGAAAACCAGGCAGATGGATAAAGGGTCACCGCCAGCCAGCCTAAAATATAAGGGATTATTTCTGCTTGGAGGTGGAATCGTACTTGCACTCTCGACAGACGGCTGGCAGACGGGTTTCCATTTCTTACAAGTAGCGTGGCTGCAATGGGAGAGTTGAAGGAAAGAGCACATGCGTATCAGCTTTTAAAGTTTTAGCAAAAGACTTTTAGAACTGAGGGCCTCATTCAAATACAGAAGTTAAAAGTGGCTTAAAAAAAAATAGAGAAAACCGAAGCTTGAGGCTCATCATCTGAAGAAAATAGTATTTGACGTTCTGGGTAGATTACCGAATCTCCCTCATTTTCTCACATCATTTTGTGCCCGACAGAAACATGTATCTCAGCACCAAACAGCGCCTTTCCACTGGTTTGCACAGTGCTCCTAAGTAGCATGCGGTGGAGAAAGTGTCAAAGCTAGAACTTTTCCAATTTGTACCCTCAAAGCGTATAAATTCCCACCTGTGCTACTACAGATATTTCCAAAATTAATTTATGTTTCACTTTGAAGCTGTCTACCTTATACAACTGGTAATTGCAAGAACAGAGGTATGCTGGGCATCCCATTAGCACTGGTCTGAATCAGATGGCTAATAGGTACAATAGTTGTGCGGCATCTTATAACTGAACAAGGGTACAGTCTATTTCCTAATACGACATTCTTAAGAAATGTCCCATATCTCATCACTGCTGTTACACAACTGCACCAAATTAACAAAACAATCCAGCCTTGCAAAGAGTTATAGTCATTTTTTAAGCAACATCTTGTACTTCTTGATCAAATCAGATATCTGTGAGGAGGTTAAAAATGATGCTATTTTCTTCACCCATTCGGTTGGCAAAGTTAGGGTGCCTCTGCCTTGGCACTTCAGTTCAGGTGATCCAATGTGTCCTTTACGAGCTGATTTGCCCGACTCCTCCACTTCCCATGCTTTGGTCCACATCACAGCGTGGTCTCACAACATTTTTCAAGACAGATCAATTTTTAAAAACCAAGATATATTCCTTTTTTCACATGACACTACCAGACTTCTCCAGGTCACAGGACCAAACTACAGCTAAGCCCAAATCCTAAAGCATCCAGGTACTGGGTGTCCAGCACCAACCATTTTGCTACACTTGCCATACCACACTACTTGCCAGGGCAGACATGGCAATAGCCTCCTCCCTTTTCATCTCCAATCTTGTTTTTCGTACAAAGCTATTATACACTATATGTATTTGACAAAGGCTTAATCTGCAACAGCACTCAGTCTTGATATGCAGCACTCAGCATAAGTGGAGGTACCAACTGCTGGTTAATTGTTGCTTGACAGAGCTAACACCAGCATTAATCATTATTGCTGCAGTTTGGGGTCATTTCTAGAGGGATGGAACCAAGGGTCAGATTCTAGTCTCATTCTTAGAGTGCAAATTCAGTGGTCTTTGCTGAATATAAAAGTAACAGAGATTTGAACTGAAGAAAAAAAAGGAGGGGGCAATGCAGAATTCAAGAAGAAAACCTGAAAGCCTGCATTTACTTTGGATTACAATCTCTGCTTTCTAATCTATACTTGTAAACCTGTCCCATGTAGCTTAATTTTCCCTTCCACTTACCCTCTTATCTCTCAAAGCTAACAAAGGCGGCTTTTAAGTATGGTACTAATTAAACAGATTAGGCTTACCTAGTTATAGGCAAATCCAAAGGGACATGTAAGATCTAAATACGGGAACTGGTTTTAGAGAAGACCAGAATGACAAGTTTGAAAAAGGATCCAAGAGCTACTAAATCAGACTCCTTTGCAAGTTCCGGTTTGTGTTTTGTTTTTAAATTCCATATCCACTCAGAATTATGTCTATAGGCATGACAAGGTACAACACCGATTCTGCAAATGCTACTTAGTGGCATAAACCAACGCTTCTGATGGGTTTTTTTTTCCTTACATAGAGACTCACTACTCATTGAATTAGAATTAATGCAAAATACTGGCAAAATACCACATGTACAGAAGAAATCTAGGCAAGTCAGATGCTTCTACCTTATTGTTCCAAAGCAGGGTCTGATCTAATGAAAGAAAGAGAAGCGACACAGAATGATAAAACATACTTTTCCTCTGCTCTTGCTCAAGCATCTAATGGCTGAAACAGATTTAACAGCCGCTGCTCTGTAAGTATAGTGCCCGGGCTGATAGCAGCAAAAGCAGAAACAGCAGCTGCTTTGTGTTTTCCTGAAATTCTCCCCCACCGAAGGGGCAAGGGGTCACTGATTGCATAGTCTTTGCTCCATTGCACACCCTCAGCTATTGTTGAGTCCACTTGGAGAGCAACAGACTCAATGTGCCACACAGCCTCGTAACCAAATCTTTTTTATTACTGCTTGAATTAAGATTCTCAATAAATGTAAAGCACCTGTTCATTTGGGTCAGCATATATAACATGTTGGGTGAAGACGGTATGAAATCCCACACCAGAAGTGTATAACTTACACCGGTACCTCTTGAAATATGATCATCTTTGTTACAATCTCCTAATCCTTGTAAAGGGATTTGCATGGTACAGGAAGATTTACAATGTAATGGATTACTATTTCATAATCCGGGCCAAGGGGAAGAAACTTCAAATATTTACAGTTTTTTACTGCATTTTAAACTTTTTTCCAGATCTGGAAGCACCACACCGGGGAGGCTGTTAGAGAGTGTTCACACACAAATAATCGCCATAACGTTTGCGGGCTTTGTTTCATCTGGATTTCCAAGCATCTGTAACTTTATTCTCTACCTGTATCACTCCTTTATGACCACAGTGCTTGCCGTTATTGAAAAGCAAAGAAAGTGCATTAATAGAAATTGCATAGGGAACAAATGAAGCACTTTTGAGCAAATTATTATTAAATGGCTATGAATTTACCCGGTGTAAAATATATCAGAAAAAAAGAGAAAGAAAATGTTTAAAAATTAATATTATGAAACCAAACTATTTCTTAGGCAGTGTGTAGTCAGAGTTACATTTTTTCAATTTTAACCGCTCAAGATCTCCCACAGAACAGACTGCACAGACCATGAAACTCCAGACGGAGACAATTTCTCAAAAGCATTTTCTATCTAGAAAGTCCAAACCATCTGAAATTTTACTCCTTGGATACTAAAGCCAGCCTGCTACATGCCAGTGCCAAGAATTATGCTCCCAAAAGCACAGAATATGATTGCAAATATTCTGTGGTGCTCAGTTCTCCCATCCTAGTTTGTTGCATTTTTTTATTAAATTAATGATGCAAACTCTTTGTAGCAGACAATCTAAAAGCAGATAGTGGTTTTTTCATTACATCTTTAAGATGTGTAGCAATGAGGAGATTCTCACAAAGCTGTCACTTCCCCACACCCCACAGCTATGAAAAGCGTAGCTGCAGTAGCGGTAGGTGCAAGAGACCTCACATTTTGCAGAGGGGCAAGTAAAACATCATTAATGCCAGTGACCTCCTTACACCTTTTATTACCCTCTCAGCTGAAAGGTGAATTTAGACTCCGTTAAAATAATTAAGAGCTTGGAAAGATTTAAATGAAACTTAAATCAGAAAATCCAAGTGCCAGTTAGTGTACAGAGGGAACAAGCTGTAGTCAAAAAATATTTTTTATTCCTATCGTCAGGAAAAATAAGTGATATTAAAAGCAGAATTGCTAATCTGAATTTCTGTGCTCCATCAGTTTAAAAGTTTCATAAAATGATGTCCATATTTTTAAGAGCTTGGAAAGATTTAAATGAAACTTAAATCAGAAAATCCAAGTGCCAGTTAGTGTACAGAGGGAACAAGCTGTAGTCAAAAAATATTTTTTATTCCTATCGTCAGGAAAAATAAGTGATATTAAAAGCAGAATTGCTAATCTGAATTTCTGTGCTCCATCAGTTTAAAAGTTTTATAAAATGATGTCCATATTCCCCTTAATATAATTCAGAGCTAAGATAACTGAGGTATTTTTCATCTGAGCAAAGCCCAGGGGACCATGTGTAGGGCTCACCCTGAAGGTAGGGTTATGTTTAAGCTTGAGAGAGAAAGCAAGCCTAGTTCTGCAGCTGAAGTGAGACTGGAAGGGGCTGCCAGAGGAAAGTGTAGGCTGCAAAACAGAATTTTTTT